TGCTTCGTGTCCTGCAACCCCCAGGACCAGCACACGGACGCCATCTGCTCCGTCAACTACAATGCCAGCGCCAACATGTACGTGACGGGCAGCAAGGACGGCTGCATCAAACTCTGGGATGGGGTCTCCAACCGCTGCATCACCACCTTTGAGAAGGCACACGACGGAGCTGAAGTCTGCTCTGCTATTTTTTCCAAAAATTCCAAGTATATCTTGTCGAGTGGAAAAGACTCTGTAGCTAAGCTCTGGGAGATATCCACCGGTCGGACGCTGGTCAAATACACAGGTATGTGGCAGGTGACCTTCCAAACTCTTTCGGGTATTAACCCATGGCAGGGGTGAAAATACTGTCAGAGAACAATTAAAGGCAATGAGAGACTGCTGCTTTGAGGATAAATTGCTCCAGATTTTTGAAAATAGATAAACTAATTCCCTAAGAGAAGCTATGATCCTTCTGTGTCAGTGTAAACGTATTTAATCTGAGTAGAGTTTGGAGACTTTTCGGACCTGGCTGCTCCGTTTCTTTGGAAGGATGTTATCATTAAATTGGGGAAAAGTAAAAAGAAACACAACCTACTTGTCAGGGCAATTGTTTTAACCATTAACTTGGGTGCAGAAAATGGCTCTGTAGCCATGGCAATAGTCTGAAATGTGGCTGCAGTTGGTCTGTTTCTTTTTTTGCTTATTTTTTTTCCAAGGATGCAGTTGTGTGCGATCCTTGGAGCATGGTGACAGTGCCATGCTTTGATCTCAGCAGGACTTGGGGAATGATGAAGGATGTAGAGCTTTGCATGTGGTAGCAGCTGTGTGCTGGGAGAGGCTTTGGTGACAAGCATTAAGTGCTTCAGCAGTAAGAGCCATAGCATAAGAGAAGAGGATACTGAAAGTTGTGTGGCTCAGCTTTTGGGCTGTATAGGTCCCTTTTTGCACTCCAGCTCTCTCCTGCTCCCAGCCAGCAGGGAGCAGCACCTTCCCAGGAAACAAATGCAGGATCACAGGTAGGACCAGGTCTGTGCAGTGCACAGTAAATGTGTGGGAAACACATCTTTTATTGAAGGTATGGCCAGGGAAGCTCATACATCAGGCCAGTAAAAAGTCCTCAGTGATCATGAGAATTTGTGTGTTCTTCTGTCTGTGCTCTTTCCCCTTGGTTACAGCAGAAAGCCTCATGCAAAAATATAAGGCAAAAGTGCTCTTTAAAGGTAAATGGTTGTGCTCATACTGCGGGGTTGGGCTTGGCACAGGTGGAGTAAGTATTCCTTCCATTCTCTAAGGAATTTTGCAATATATTACCTATATATGCATGGACATCAGAAGAATTTCTTCATGGAAAGGGTGGTTGGGCTGCCAGAGGTGGTGGGGTCCCCATCCCTGGAGGTGTCCAAGGAACGACTGGACGTGGCACTCAGTGCTCTGGGCTGGGGACAAGGTGGGGATCGGGCATAGGTTGGACTTGATGATATTTTCCCACCTTTATGATTCTACAAAAGAATATTCATTATTGGTTTCCTGTTGCTCGTGGAAGTGGTAGGAAAGCAGAGAAAATATGGCTCCTTTGTAGACTGCAGGAATTGATACTTACAAAAAGTTCATTCTTAGGTCGTCAGAAACTTCTTAAAATTTAATAATATTTTGCTTCATATATTCAGGTGCTGGTTTGAGTGGCCGACAAGTACACAGGACACAAGCTGTCTTCAACCACACAGAAGATTATGTGCTGCTCCCAGATGAAAGGACCATAAGTCTGTGCTGCTGGGATTCCAGAACTGCTGAGCGAAGGAACCTCCTTTCCCTGGGGCACAACAGCATCGTCCGCTGCATCGTCCACTCCCCCACCAACCCCGGCTTCATGACCTGCAGTGACGACTACAGGGCCAGGTTTTGGTACAGGAGGTCAACAACAGACTAAACTAAGGACAGCTTTACAAACAGGGATGATACAACTCACACACCACCTTGTGTTGATTGTAGTGCCAGCAGCTGCCTGCGTGGAAACCGTGCTGTGTCTGGTCTTTAATACTGTCAAACGTGGCAGGAAAACAGCAAAGTACTGAGACTCTTTGCCCTACACTAATTTTTTTATTAGTGTGTGTGGTTTAATTTTTGTAAGTCATCTCTAATTGTACTCAAGGGAGGGGGGTGGAGAATAAAATGATCCTGGCAGGAAGGGCTAAACTTTTTCTCCTGCCTTTCTGTATCACACAAAAGATAATGTGACTGTGTCTTGCTCAAACTGGGCAGAATGAGCCAGTTCTGCTCCGTGTTTTGTCTGTGCAATCCCACTGAAGTCTGTTAATGGATTACACAAGGAGCAGCAGAACTTGGCAGATACTTTAATGAAGCCTTAAGCTGCCTTCAGCCCCAATTCATCCTTTGTAAAGCTCTGGTTTGTATCTTTTAGGCTGGGGGGTTGGTGGATCTTTTTTTTTTATTATTTTTTTGAATTGGCCAAGTGGACCTTCAGTTCTGAGCTGTCTTATGCCATAAGAATTCAGACAGGACTTTAAATTGTTTAGATGAATTCAAGAAACGGTCTTCTAGTTCCGGTATTAAAACTCAGACATTATCTCATCTTCTCTTGGATTTATCTTAACAAGTGGGACCTCATCATAAATTCATTATATTTTCAAGGAATATCCACATTGCAACTAAAATGTGACAGTATTGCTGCAGTTGAAAATGGTAATTATTTTGCCTTAGAGACCTTTAGTATCCTCTCAAAGCAAGAAACTTGTGCATATGAATTTTTGTATATGTACCTCAGAAATGTCACTTTCATTTTACTGAGAATTTTTCATGCTCTGTCTGTTACACAGCATTGAATGACATTCTTTTGAATAACTTAAAAACCCAGTGCAGATCATTAAGAGGCTGTGCTTAAAACTTCCTGTAAGTTTGAAAATTCACTACTTGTTTTCACAAAGAGCAGCCTGAGCAGAGTTGTAAACGTGTTTTTTCAGGCCTCCTTTTGCAGGGCTCTTGGGCATCACATCTGGGAGGCTCTTTTGGTCCAAGCTCAGCATTTGCCTTCATGAGGATTTTTCAAATGTAAGATTGTTCTTGCTGCTGAATTAACTTCCCATTACACTGATGAATTGTCAAGGGCTGATGAGGGTACAGGTTTTGTCTGTATTTAAATAAAAATTGCCTTTTAAAAAGTTCTTTGATACATAAAGAAGGGATTGTGTTTGTTTTCTGTATAACAAGGGAAAAATGGATCAAATATGGAAAGCTGAGTCTTTAGGGACTTGTTCAAGCTTGATGAATTTATTGTGTTACACCTGAACCAGGTACAGCCACAGATTAACAGAGTGGGATGGTAGTTTTAAAAGAGAGAATGGAATTTAATATTCTCTTTAAAAGTTCCTGCTGTGCAAAACATTTCCTGGGCTTTACAATCCTCTTCACTCCTCCTCTACCTCCCTTTGAATTTCTGAAACTTCTGAAGCATGGGTGGCAGCAGATAGTGGTTCTGGTGGCTTTTTTGGTGGAGAAACAAGGAGAAGCAGAGCTTGGGGGAGGGAAAAGGGAAGTCCTGACACAGTCACTGATGTGTGGTGTGGGCTGAGTGACAGCGGCTCTGCCACAGACAGCACAGTGGCATTTTCATCTGGAGTGTCACCTTTTGTAATTCTCTTAAAGCAGCTGTCCATAACTGATGCATTTGTTACTGGGGTTTGCAACCTTTCAAAACACTCCTGTGGTGGGTTGTGTATTAAAGCACTGTTGGGAGTGTTCATACTGTCAACATGAGCTCTCACCTTAAGCTTCCTTAATTCTGCAGTCTTGAACATGCAGTGTAAAAATTCCTCTGTTAACACAAAACCATCCTGCCATGGGCACCCTGCTGGCTTTTCATATCCTGGTCCTGTTCCTGAGGCCAGAGGTTCGGTGGGTTTTGGTTTGAGCAATAAAGGCTGGAAGAGACTTAACTCAGGTTGGGCAGGGCTTGGAGCAACCTGGTCTAGTGGGGTGGAATGAGATGAGCTCTAAGGTCCCTTCCAACATAAACCACTCTGTGATCCTTTGAAAAGGTCTTTCCAGTGTGGAAGTCTGGAAGTATCTCAAGTGACCATTCTGGCACGTGGCTCTAGAGATGGTCTTTCCTAAGAGACCACTTATGGAGTTAGACATCAAGCTTTCTGTTAAAGAGGGAATACTGGTCTGTGAAAAACATTTCTCACCTCCTGGACACAGAGGCTGTTTTTCTACCAGAGCTGCCCTGTGAGAGTGAATCCCAGGAAAAACCAAAGAAGTAGTAAAGGTAATTGTGGTTCAGGCTGGGAAATTTGCGGTGTGGCTGCAGGGGACCCTTCAGATGTGCTGCAGCACAACTGCTCTGCTCCCTCAGCAGGACACTGGGGCAGGAGCTGTGGATTTCCCAGGCCTGTTGGAGCTGCAGTGCAGGCAGGAGGATCAGCATCCACCCAGGCGGGGCTGGGAACACACCCAGCTCCCCCAAAGCCCCTTCGTGGCCAAAAGCTACCAGCGCCACGAAAGCGGAAACTACTTCGAAAGCCATGAAAACTGTTGGCCTCAAAATCCTGGATTTGCACCACTGTGGCAGCCGTGTTCTTATCAAGCCCTGTGCAGCTCCCTGTGGTACCACTGCCTGGTATTCACTGTGTTGCTAAAAGAGGAAACACAGGAACATGTAGCAAAAGAGGGGTGAGACTTCCCACTGCGGTTAATTGCGACAAGTTAGTGACAGATATACCAAGGAAAATTCCACTTGCAGACAGACTTTTTTTCTCACTTCTGGTCACCAGTTGGGTTTTTCTGGTTTGTGTTTTGTCCTGTTTTTATCTCCTCTGTTGTCACAGAAATTATCTTTCATAAGAATCTTTTCACCGAGCTCCTGAGTGCTGTTGGGGCAGAGCTGTCAGATGGGCTTCCCTGAGGTGCAGTTCCAGAACATGGCGCCTGTGCGAGGCTGAAGTCTCTTCATCCTGCTGCAAGTCTCTCTATTGCTCAAGTGGTGCCGCTGGGGAATGACAACAATGGATGAAAACGTAGGGGTCAACAGAACTGCAAAGGTATGTCTGGTTTTTTGAGCACTGCACATGAACGAGTGAGAAACAGGGGCCCAAGGGAAGGGTTTGGTGTTTGAATTCAGTGATGATGTTGGAAGTAGCACTGGTGAGGCCACACCTCAAGTTCTGTGTCTAGTTCTGGGCCCCAGAAATGGCCTCAAGCTGCGACAGGAGGGGTTCAGGTTTGACATCAGGAGGAATTAGTCATGGAAAGGGTGGTCAGGATTGGCAGGGGCAGCCCAGGGAGGGGGTGGAGGTGTCCAAGGAATGACAGGACATGGCACTCAGTGCTCGGGGGAGTGACAAGGTGGGTATCGGGCACAGGTTGGACTCAGTGGTCTGGGAGGGCTTTTCCAACCTTAATGATTCTGTGACCCTGTGAAGTGTTTGGATTTCTCATATTGAGGGGACAGAAGGCTCTTACAATGCTCATGTACCTGATGTCACCCTGTGGTTTTCACTGTGACAGAATAATTGACTGAAAGGAAGGTTTTCTTGGGGAGGATTCTGAACAAAGCAGGATTCCTAAATAACACGTACATCTAATAACCACATTTGTGAAATTACAAATATATAACTTGAAAGTTCCACCTGTCTTACTGCTATCCTGTAGTGACATTACAGACATGGTTACACTGTCAGAGGCTTTCAGTGACAGCCCAGGTGACCCGTTTCGTGACAGATAATTTCTCGACGTTAAGAGCAAAACAGAAAACATTTTGAAGCACTATTCTTTTTTATTTTGAAAGACTGGAAACTAGTTTATACAGGTTTTTACGTTTGTGTATTCATACTACATCTAGTTTAATTTTATATATATACATAGCTAAAATGCCTTGCTGCAGCTGTAAGGGTTAGAGAATGCTAAAGTCTTGATTCCAAGTCAGTGCCTTCATTGTCCTGCTGTCTGCAAGTCTAATAGGCAGTGTTACGAAATTGTGATTTTCATGCTGGATTGTGATCTCAGTGTTTGCTGTAAATAAGCTGCCTCCTGGAAATTTGATAGAAAATTTAGTGTGTGGGGGGAAAGCTTAGTATGAGCTCAATTTTCCATTGAGGCGTGTAAAGATTAGGGGGCTATTTTTCACATTGAGTCACAGTAAGTGAGGCAGGACATTTTTCACCTCTATACATAGAAATTTTCTATTTCTAGGTTTAATATTTACCATTTTCTTAAAATGGATTGTCAATGGTAAATAAATGTAATGGTAACAAACTGATTCCCCATTCGGCTGTGAGCTCTTTAGACAGGGCCATAGCACACCCAGTCAACTTCAGCTGAGTAATAACTGAAAAAGTCAAACTTATTTCTGTTACATCATTTATGAACTGTTTATAAGGTTCCTACTACCCTGGCAGTACTGTTTATTATAATATTTGAATATTATGCTTAATAAAAAAACATTAAGAGGTTTTTTTTCTCTTATCTGAACTCCTTGAAGCACCAACCCTGAGCAGTGTTCTTGTGATGGCAACATTTTGCAATTATTCCTGTGCCCCAGCTACTCCACCTTCTAAAAATGAATTCAGTTTGTGAGTGCAGCCAGAAAATGTTGTTATTTTTTGTTGTTATGCACCCACATGTGGCACAGGCTGCACAGGAAGCGTTGCACCCCTTAGTGCAGCTTCAAACACTGTGAGCACGACGGGCTGCTCACGAAATAGCGCTCCTGCTGTTTGACAACACTGGCTGTGCTGCTGCCAGAGGACAAACAGAGCGTTTGAAACACACGTGAAGCGGGTATCAGGTTTGTCTCTCTTGAAATGCCCAGGTCACATCTTCCCATCTCATCCACAAACACGTATGTGAGGAATGACATGGATTCTCTCTCTCTCTCTGCTGTTCTCTGGTGAGGCCCCACCTGCAGAGCTGCCTCCTGCTCTGGGGTCCCCAATATAAGGACATGATGCTGTTGGAGTGAGTCCAGAGGAGGCACCGGGATGATCAGAGGGATGGAGCAGCTCTGCTAGGAGGAAAGGCTGGAAGAGTTGGGATTGATCAGCCTGGAGAGGAGAAGCTTTGGGATGACCTTATTGTGGCCTTCCAGTGCCTGAAGGAGCTACAGGAAAGATGGAGAGAGACTATTTACAGGGGCCTGGAGTGACAGGACAAGGGGGAATGGCTTCAAACTGACAAGGAATAGGGTTAGATTGGATATTAAGAAGAAATTGTTCCCTGTGCGGGTGGGCAGGCCCTGGCACAGGTTGCCCTGAGAAGCTGTGGCTGCCCCATCCCTGGAAGTGTCCAAGGCCAGGTTGGACGGGGCTTGGAGCAACCTGGGCTAGTGGAAGGTGTTCCTGCCCATGGCAGGGATTGGAATGAGATGATCTTTAAGGTCCCTTCCAACACAACCCATTCTCTCACTCTCTGATTTGTTCTGTGGGTCCCTCTGCCCATGGGCATGTGTTCACCTGCAGTCCCAGAGCTCTGCTGTCACCCCCCAGTCTCCATCTCAAACATCCAAGAGCAAATAATATGTTTCAAAATAGGATTTGCCAGAGTTGATATACTGAGCAAGGAGTTATTTCAATAGCTAAGAGGAAATACTACAGAAAATGGTGAAGTCTTTCTTTTCCTGGGCCTCAGATAATAAACTTTGGGCTTTTGCCAGGGATGGAAGTAGACTCAATGCCCAGCTTTCCTGGGGAATTCTTAAAGGTGAAACTTTAGTTGTCATGCACAAAACAGTCTTGACCCAGGGAATTTTCACCTCATGTAATTTAATACCTGTTAACACAAACTTCTGATTTGGGTGATTGAGAAAGAATAAACCACGAACAATTAAGGAAGCACTTGAGTAAACACCTTTCCTCCCCCTTCCTGGTCTCAACTTGCCTTATTTTTTTGGGGGGGGAAGGGGGTACCCTCAGTCCACCCCAGGTCCTTCACAGAGGTTTCTGGGATTCATTCAAGAGAACATTTAGTTGCATTTGAAAGTAGTTTTGTGACTACAAATCCTGGCTTTGTTATTTGTACTCTCCATCATTTCAAAGGCTGGAACGCCTTTAAAATTCCAGGGTAGGAGCTGAATGGCTCTTTATCATCTCCGTGGAGTGTCTGAAGGAGTAAAACTGCTGGTTCTAATATTAAAAAAAAAAAAAAAAAAAGAAAGAAAAGAAAAACCCCAATGACATTCAAATGGGCTACTTTGTACCAGGAATTCTTTCTCCTTTGGGCAGCTGCATCAGCTGGTGCTCTGCTCCCAGCCCAGAGGTGTAGATTTTGTTGAGAAAGCATTTTCAATTCAGCATTTTCTATTCAAGATGCAAAAGTCTTTCCTGGTGAAGTGATTGTGGCTTTGGGAGCCAGGGTCTAATTTCATCTTGAAGCTGCCATGGAAAGAGGAAGGAAAAGGCTTTTGCCAGAGAAAAGGCAGCATGTACAAAAGCAAACCCAGAAGAAGTTTGCAAACACCAAGATATTCCCCAGTCCAAAGTGGTAAAACCTGTGTATTTGCATAAGCATGATCTGGGCTGAATTGCTGCTGAGCAAACAGCAACCACGAATAATTTTAAATAACATTATCGTTTAATAATACTAAATTTTTTTAAATAGCCAGAGGAACAAAACCCTTCAGCTGCAGGTCATGTTTAGCCTTCCTCCCGGGGTTTTCCGCCTATGCAGAGTGAGATTGCTTTGCTGGGGTTTCCATAAGCACAAAAGGGACCTGCTAAGTTTTCTAGAGACCTGAACAGGAAAATTTCAAAGCGTATCAAGTCTCAAACCACTTTTAAGTTCAAAACAAAACAAAACCCCCACCACCCCCACCACCAAAACCCAGGAGTAAAACTGCTGCTGCAAAAATGCTTCCAAATCCAATCCTTTTTTCTGGTCCAGCCTTGCTGTCCTGGGTTTTCTCTTCAGAGCAGGGAAGGCATTTCCCGGGGGTGTCTGCAGGAAGGATGTCTGTGTGTCCTGCACCATCCCCAGCTGCAGCCCAGTGGCTCCCTGCAGATAATTCTGCTACGTAATTAGCTCCCTCCAGTCCCCAGAGCCCCTTTCCTGGGGCTCCCAGTGAGCAGGAGGTGCCAGAGGCTGAGCCTTCCCTCTCCAGGCTTCCAGCCAGACCCTCCAGTGCTGCCTGAGCCACTGACCGAGCTGGGGGAGATCATCCTCCTCCTCAGGTGATGGACTAGCAGGGAAATAAGAGGCAACAAAATGAAGGTTAATGTAAGTACTGGACTCTTTTCTTTCTGTTGCAGTTAATTTAATGACTTTACCGATTTCATTTGTAGTGTAAAATCTGCATCTGGCAGGGTCCCTTTGTGCATGTGCTTGTCCAATTTGCACATCACTAACAGAGCACGTGGGCTTAATTTTTAAAATATAATCCAAGTTAAGCTGAAAAAAAAATGCTTTATCAAGGACAATATGGCTAAGGAGGATAAAGGTCTGTACCATGCATAATATGCCTTATTAAAAAGCTATACTGAATGACCCTGACTGGCCATTTCCCTATTTTCTTGGAAACAAGGCGGTTAAATGATTAACGCCTGAGCTGGACTTCATCTCAAAAAAAAGATGATGTTTTTTGCACTGATTCCTAGAAAAGAGGCAATGGAAATGTTTCAACAACCTGAGTCATGCTGTGATAAGAAAAATGTCACGTAATTTCAATATGAGTTATGTGAGCCTGGGAAAGCCTGTGCTCTCTAGGATAATGACTGGCCACGTCCTGCAGTGCTGCTTGCAAGGAGAACTGAAGCTCAAGAGAGGAAAGGAGTGGTGGCAGCGCTCATTTTTAGGAAATACCGTTCTCCCTGTGGGAGGAGGGGGGAATGGGTGGACAGATCAAACCCATTTTGCAGTCAGATGTCAGTGTTCTTGCCCAGACTCCCCCACAGCACAGGGACCCCCAGCCTTGGCTTTGTGCTTTGGCTGTCACACAACTGAATGACTCGCCGTGTCACAGCTGATCCCTGGCAGCTGTGGCTCGGGAAGGGTCTGCACTGTCACCATGTGTCCCGTGCTAATGACAGGGAAAGGGGAACGTCCAGCTGCC